ACTCAAAGAGAGAAGACAGAAGCTGGAGGAGAGAAGATTGTGGTCCTTGGAGGTTTTTGATCCATATCCGCATAACTCCAATGTAAAGTCTCTTTACAACACTTGTACAAGTCTAGAGAGGATCCATCTGGAAGATAAAACAATAAAAGAGAAGATTGGATTAGAATCTTTTGATGATCTAAACATGGAGAAGGACTCTCTTCATGAGTTTGTGAAGAAAGTTCTTGAAGCTTCAAGACTGAACTGGAGTAACCTCGTGGCGAGATGCAACGAAGAAATATAGAATAATAATTGATTTAATAATTGTTAAATGACGATAATAATAACTATAAAAATGACCTTATTATATATTGAGATCTGAAAAAAAATAATCTAATAAAAATATAACTAAAAAACAATAACGAATACATTGAATAAATAATAACATGTCATTAGAACGAAAATTAGAGAAACTATAATAAACTAACATATTCAACTATAATAAACAATAGCGTTATTGTTTTAATACATTGAATAAACAATAATGCTATATATTTCTAATACTAATGTTAGAATTAAATCGGTTAAATACAAATTTCTATATTAAATATAAGTGATAAAACATAATTATTATATATTTCTATAGATTTATAATATATCAAAATCAAAACTATTTGATATTCTTTAATTTTAGAACCATATTATGGTATTAGGAAAGATATACCTTGTTGGTAAAGGCTTTTAATTTGTTAATTTGTTTATTAATAACTTGTCTTATTTTNGGTTAAATACAAATTTCTATATTAAATATAAGTGATAAAACATAATTATTATATATTTCTATAGATTTATAATATATCAAAATCAAAACTATTTGATATTCTTTAATTTTAGAACCATATTATGGTATTAGGAAAGATATACCTTGTTGGTAAAGGCTTTTAATTTGTTAATTTGTTTATTAATAACTTGTCTTATTTTATACCAACCTTATTTTGACATCAATTACGTGTCTTAAATGATATGTTAATTATTGCAAATTTTTAATATTTTTATAACAAATATTTCAGGAACCATAAGACTTAATGATAAAATATGATTATTAATTCATAATTATTCTTTAAATTTGATATATTCTGAATTTTTTATTATATATACTTCTAAACGAAATAATCTTTTTAGGAAGTATTTTTTTAAATATACA